CTCCTGGAACAGGTGCCTGGCTCCACAATTCCAGACAGATCAGGTGCACCTGATGAGCTTATTTAATTTTAATTACCTACCAACGGCCCCATCTCCAAATACCATCAACCATATGAATTTGGGGATAAAGTTTCCAAAACATGAATTTGAAAGATGCATTCAAACCATAGCAGCAGCTGACCTGAGCTGGGGACAGACCCAGGTTTGAGGCTCTACTCACCCACGAATGGCTCTGTGAATTTGAACAAGGGATGTCACCTCCATGGACTTGATTTTCCATGTATAAATTAGGGATAATGATGGCTGCCCTGTCCAGTTCTCAGGGCTCCCACTTAGTGAGCTCGTAACACTTGTAACATGGGCCGGGCACTGTGCCAAACACGTTCCCTGCAGCATCGCGGTCAATCCCGACCACAGTGCTATGAAGTGGGCAGCAGCATCCTGCCCAAAGCCAAAACAAGGTCACACAGGTGAGTAAATAGTGGTGCCACGATTTGAAGCCTGATCTGACTCCAGACATCCCCTTCCACTGAAATCCCTTTGTTAGTATGATTATTGTCAGAGGCCATCTCATAACCAGTGTATTAAATCCCTTAATTCTACACCTTGCTGCAGAATGTAAGTCTTCCCCTTGGGCTCCAGGCAAGGGGTCAGGGGCTGAGTTGAAGGGCTTGCTGTTACTTGACACAGGGCTGGGCAATCTATGGCCTGTCGCCTGGGCTGGAGTGCAGTAGCGCAATCTTGGCTCACTGCAACCTCCGCCTCCCAGGTTCAAGCGTTCTCCTGCCTCAGCCTCCCAAGTAGCTGGGATTACAGGTGCCTACCACTACACCCAGCTAATATTTTAAAATTATTATTTTTAGTAAAGATGGGGTTTCACTATGTTGGCCAGGCTGGTCTCAAACTCCTGACCTCGTGATTCACCCACCAAAGTGCTTTTACAAAGCTTTTTTGGATCACGGTCACGCCCACTGGTGTATGTATTGTGTATGGCTGTTTTGCCTGTGCCGAAAACGTTACCTGCGTCATCACAGTCAATCCTGACCACAGTGCTATAAAGTAGGTGGCAGCATCAAACTCAAAGAGGTTGGTTTGAGTTGGGATAGAGACCGTATGGCTCAAAAAGTCGAAAAAACTATCTGGCTCTTTACAGAAAAAGTCTGCTGGCTGCTGATTTGAAACATTCAAGGAAGTGTCCTGGATGCGTCTCGGGCCTTTGACTGAAGTCCAAGACAGCAGCAAGGGGAGTCCCTTGCTGGCTCCTCTGAGCACTGGCCGCTTCGTAGGAAAAACTGGATTTTCAAAGGAGTCCTAGAGAAACCTCCCTTCCGAGAGCTACCGAGAAATGCTGGCTGAGTCAGCAGCCCTTGTCAAGCCGGGAGAGGAAGGTATTGAGTAAATCTCTGCCATCTCCTTTGGCAGTTAGCTGGCACAGGTTCACTCTGGTCAGAAAGAAACTTTGGATTGAGAAATTTCAGTGGAATAACCTTTAGGCTTGAAAAATCGAATACTCTAAGGACCTCAGAATAGCTGCTCAGGCCAGGCCTCAGGGTTCCCTCAACGTGGAGGAGCCTAGCCCCTGCTCGGGATACCAAGCCAGCCAGCCCTACAGGAGTGTCCGAAAGCTTCGCTTTCTAAGCAGTTATGGCTCATTTTACACCACACCTGGGGTCCTGAAAAGCTGTGTGTGGTCTGAGTCTGTTTGCCTCCCTAATCTCTGTAATTTCAGAGGCTGCTTAATTCCGGATGGATTTGAAAGAGTGTTGTTTTTCAGGTTCTCTGCCCCCACCCGTCAACCTCTCAGTCCAGGACCTCCAGTCCAGAAACAATCAGTTAAATGAATTCCTATTTCTTTTCCTAAGCTCTGCATTTTGAAAAACAATGCCCTACTCTGCTTCTGTTGTATTTATTTGGTAAAGGTATCTCCAAAGGCTAGCAACGCGTGTCCAGCCTTCCTTTGGTCTGAGGTATAATTATCTTTACAGAAGACACCAACTTTACTTTTCCTTATCCCTTGCCCCAAGATCACACTGGCATCCACCCAGTAGCATCCAGTTGACTACATATGTTCCATGGACCCTGGTGTCTGCTCCCCCTTCCTTGTCCCTGCCGTCACTGCCCATCATCCTTCCACCAACTTAACCAAATGCTATTGTGCCTTCTAGGGCCTGTTTTAGTCACTCAGCCTCTATTTGCTTTCCCTGATCCCACCAGTCTACACTGTGCCATCTTGTACTCCAAATTTGTATTGCACTTACTAAGACTATCAAACACGGCCGGGTACGGTGGCTTATGCTTGTAATCTCAGCACTTTGGGGGGCCAAGGTGGGTGGATTACTTGAGGTCGGGAGTTTGAGACTAGCCTGGCTAGCATGGTGAAACCCTGTCTCTACTACGAAAACCAAAAATGCAAAAATTAGCCAAGTGTGGTGGCAGGTGCGTGTAATCCCAGCTACTTGGGAGGCTGAGGCAGGAGAATCCTTTGAACCTGGGAGGCAGAGGTTGCAGTGAGCTGAGATTGCTCCACTGCCCTCCAGCCTGGTCACCAGAGGAACTGGTTTTAGGCAGAGGTGACAGAGTGAGACTCTTGTCTAAAAAAAAAAAAAAAATCAAACACATTTTGTACCTAATTCTTCTTTCTGGTTAGGGGAACTTCCATAGTACTGTAGAAAGAGTTTGCATTCTAGAATTTGAAGACCAGATTCTAGATTCACTTATCTAATTCACTATACACTTATGGATCAGTGTTAAGTTGTCTTGTCCCCACCTCACCCCTTTCTTCTTGGTTTCATGTGAAATTAGAACTTTGGGGCTGATTAGGGGGGTTACAGACCAATCAGCATAAAGCCAGCTCACCTGAAACCTCTGCCTAAAACCAGTTCCTCTGATGACCTGTTTGCCTAAAAGTCAAACTAGTAATTTTTAAAGAAGGCATTTTGCACCAGTTTTCCTAAGAGGCACTTCCAAAGTAACATCACTTTTTCTTTTTCTTTTTTTTTTTTTTGAGACTGAGTCTGGCTCTGTCACCCAGGACAGAGTTTCACCATGTTGGCCAGGCTGGTGTCGAACTCCTGACCTCAAGTGATCTGCCTGCCTCGGCCTCCCAAAGTGCTGGGGATTATAGGTGTAAGCCACCGCACCCAGCCGTAACATTGCATTTTTAAATCACTGTCACAACTTGCAGCATTTTGTCAATGATGAGATTGTTTTGTAGGCTTGTGGGTGACTGTTTCTTTCTTTTTTTTTTTTAATTCAGGGGAAAGCGCAAACGCAATCCCCCCACTACCACAAATTAGGCAGTCAAGTTTCCCACATTTGGGAAAATCGCAGGGGTCTGCACATCCGGAGTGCAATGGATAAGCCTCACCCTGGGAAAACCACCTTTGCGATCATGGTATCTCCCCTGCCAGGTAAGTATGTGGATGACTTTTCTATCTTCTCTGCTATTGAGCAGTTTTATGACTTTTTAGGGAGTTTGTCTAAAGACTCTTTCTTTAAAATTGTGTATTTCTAGCACTAAATACTTGTCAAATCTATGGGATCTCCCGTGGGATTTATCAAATGAACCCCTTTTGATCCCTCCTCTCGGCTTCTCGCTGAGTTTTGCTCTGTATTGTGTATGCCTGTGTGCACCTAATGGGTTTATTAACCAAATTAGCATGTACCCAATATTCCCTTCTGTTCTGCAAGATATTGGCATTTTGACAACACGCATGAAGTGAGACAGATGGGGCAGAATCATATTGAACTCTTTGCATTTTATTTTTCAGGCTATCTCATTCATCAAGCAAGTCTACTTTGTGAAACATAAAATGATACAAATCAAGTCATTATCAAATGTACTTATTGCTGAAAACATAACATTTTCAGGAAAGGCAAACTGGCTAAAAAGTCCTGAAAGTGTCCCAAAGTAGATAAAACAGAAGAATGCACCCACCAAGGATACAGAACAGCTTTTAGTAGCGATCCTGCATTTAATCAGCATGTTCTTAAATAAATTGCTTTTGAAAAATTCTTCAAATGACACTGCCAAAAAAATGAGGACACCCAAACAGATGCCAGCAAAACCTAACAGTGGGCTGGATTTTATGTGAACTGGTCATTAAGCTTAGGGACTTGTGTGAGCTCGTGGCAAATCAGTTTCAGGCCAGTTGACCTAGAACCGATTTGGGATGCAGGCACTCACCTCCCTGCACGTGCGATATGTGAGCACAGGGACAACCACGGCTCCCAGGGGAAAGGAACGCCCTCCTGAACATGACGTCCAAGAGTAAGGGCGAACTGTCAGCTCTGAACTGTTTATTATAAAGACATATTTACATAGAACAATCTTTACAAACACATTGAACACAGGGGAAGGGAACAATTTCTTAATGGACAGGGTCTTAATATCTTTGTATAAATTAGTATAAGAATCATAAACAACCACTTTAAATAAGACAGCTCGCCCCCAGCCCACCCACTCCTGTCCTCTGTCCCCTATCTCCCAGCTTTCTCAGCCGTCCCCACCTTTCTCCCTTTCCCCACGGCGCTGGGCTTGGGTGCAGGTCATGGCAGGCTGATGAGGCAGGAGACGCAGAAAAGAGGGGAGAAAGAAGGCCCAATCCCTGATGGGGGCATCAGTGGCAGAAGAGACTTTCTGGACACCGACCAGTCCCCACGCCAAGCGTGAGGGGAGTAGGGGAGGCCGGTGCCCAGCCTGGCTCCCCAGGGTGAGCCTTTAAGCAGCAGCAGCAGCAGCAGAGGTAAAGGGGCTTGGGGGAGGCGAATAGGCAAACATTGGGGTTATTGTGGGACTTGGGGGGCCCTGACTCCCCCATCCTCCCACACACAAAGTTGGGCATCAGGCTCTTATCTTCCCTTTCTCCCTCCTGGGAAGCCTCCTCAGGCAAAAGGCGAGAAAGCTCCCTCCAGAGAATGGCTGAAGGCCCCTCATGGAAGCTGGGGCCTCCCGGGGAGAGAGTGCTATTCCAGCTGCTCTTCCTCCCATCTTTCTTTCCTTCCTTTGCCTTCATTTCTTCCTCCTGCCTCTCCTTCCTTCTGCTCTTCCCTTCCCTTCTTCTCCCCTCTCCACCTCCCCCAAAGGAAAAGCCCTGGAAGGAAGGTCTGGTCAACACGAAGGGAAGGCCATGGAGTCCAATGATTGAAGACCACCTCGGGCTCCTGAGAACCACGTCGGGGGTTGAACGGTAGTCTCGGTGCCTGAGCCGCCCCTTTTAGAATACCCTGGGTCTGGGAAAGCTGCCAGAATGGGGGCAGCTGGCCAGTTATGGAACCTTCCAGCCCAGCTGGGGGAACTGTGAGGCAGGTAAAGGTCAGGGAGGTGGGAGCAGCTCCGGCCCCATGACAGGACAGTTCACGGCCAACTGGCCTCTCCCTTCCCTTCCTCTCCCAGCCCCCCCAGCCCCAGCCTCAGGAAAAGGCACTTCATTTGCTTTGAAAAGACATCATCAAGAGGAAAGAGGACATCATAGACCAGGAGATGGGAGACCTGGTCCCCATCCCTGCTCTGCAGTGACTCTGAGCAGGTCACCCCCCTCTCCATGCTTCTGTTTTTGCAGGCGTTTGCCTAAGAAGGCTAAGTCATCTCCAAGGGTCCTTTCGGCTCATATCTTCCGTGATTCTTGGCAAAAACAACCTCTTGCTTGGCTTTTACCCCTGGGAGGGTATAGAGCCATGTCAGGCCCAGCACCCTCCCCTCCTGACCTGGAGCTTGGCCTAGCTGGGGACGGGGTGGAGGAGCAGGGAGAAGGGAGTATTGGGAGGCACAGTAAGGCAAGAGAAACAGCAAAGGACTTCACGGACCAGACCGCTCTCCTTTACCTCTTCCTTAACCGAGCAAACACCGATGCTCCACCCGCTTCAACAGAACTCCCTGCCCCCACACTTCCGTGCCCACCATGTGCCCTGCCTGGATCCCTGCAGCCAGCACCTCTACCTAGTCTCATTGCTCTTCTCTGCACTCCTTCCTGGAGGCCAGGTGAGGAGTCCAACTGACCAGGAAAACAAGGGATCTGCTGGAGTCCACGGAAGGGAATGTTTCCTCCCCATGCCCAGGGCGGACATAAGGAAGGAAGGAACAAGATGAGACAGGCAGGGACTAGATCGGAGGGGACCTGGAGAAGAAGGGAGACCTTCTGGGGTTGGATCTCCAAAGTCAGTCCAGGGAGGGGCCAGGAAGTTGGATTGGACGGATCCTTGCGAGAGAAAGGGAGTCATCCAGACTACAGCCAGGAGCACGCCACTGGGGGAAGCAAGCAGGTGAAAAGAGCCGGGCCCATTGGTGGCTACAGCAGGTGCGAGGTGAGAGCTGAACGGACGTGAGGCCTCCAGAGAAGCAGACCTATCTATAGAGGAGACAGAACCGCAGGGTGTGGCCACTTGGCGGCCCCTTCAGTCCTAAGGAGGAAAAATGACAAGAGAGAAGTCATGGACATAGGCTAGGCCCAAGAAACTCCCCAGGAAAGGAGAGGAGACCGCCTTCTCTCTCCCCTCCCAGCCCACTCAGCCCAATCCTCCAGCCCAAGGCCCCTGAGCTGTCCCCATTGCAGTGGGACAGCCAGCAGGCCAGGTGAGGGGCAGGCTCCGGCTCTGCTCTCTCTGCTGCTGCCTTGGTTCTTCCTTCCCTCTCACACCTCCAGGTAACCCCAGCCACAACTGTCCTGTTCTCTGCCTCAGAGGCCCTAAAGCTCTCCACCTCCTTCCTCAACTCTGGTGACAATCTATTGGACATCTATCTGTAGGTTTGCCTTGGGCACCCCTCCCAGCCATTAAGGTCCAGCAGGATGTCTAGAAATCTCCAGACAGGCCAGCCTCCCCAACCCCAGGCAGCAGGGTGAAAGGGAGGCTGGCCCCAAGCATCAAGCCCCTCTCTGGGCCTCAGAGAAGGAGATTGTCTGTAAAATCAAGGGACTAGACAGCTGCCCCATAAGCTCCCTTGCCAGCTCTAAGCCCCCATGTGTGTGGCGCCAGGACTGCTTGGTGGATGTGTCTGGCCAGTGATGAGCGGCAGGGTCACCCGGCTTCTAGGCTGTCCCTCTCCCTCCCTCCACTTTAGCACTGTCTACCGACCAGAGGCTCAAGTACCTGCTTCAGAAAGGCATGGGGCCCTTATGGGAGAGGCGGGGCCGCTGGCGGCGGAATTTCCTCCGACCTCCCTGCCAGGGCCCTGGCCCATTCCTCGACCCTCTGGGCTGCACCAGGTGGCGGACATTGCCCTCTTCCAGCCCATTCCCATCGGGAAGCGGCATCAGGGGCCCTGCAGAGAGAAGAAAGCCTGTTAGTGAGGAAGGGTGTTGGCCTGAGGGAGGGGCAGTCTCCATGCGGCGACGCTCCCTGTAGATTTTCTTTGGTTTTTCTTTTGCACCTTGAGGGAAAATTTGCCATTTCTGCACGGTCCTGTAGCTGATTTTATGTCCTTTCGACAGTTCTATCATGTTGCTGACAGGCACAAGTGGGTTCTTTCTTTGGAACGTCATTGCGGGGTGTGCACTTTGGGGCATCACACCTATACTTGGCTGGGGGGCAGGAGGCAGCAATCCCCATGGCACCCCTGCAACTGGTACACTTCAAACATTTCAGACATATGACATTACAATGACACCCCCCACCACGTACCCATCACCTGGATTCAACGGTTATCCAGATGGAGTCACATATGCTTTATTATCCCTTTTCTTTTTTTTCCTTGACTGCAGTATTTTAAAGCAAATCCAGAACATCACGTCATTGTACTCCTACGTCCTTTGATATGCAGGATGACCCACTTTTGAGTACTAGGGAGCTCATATCTCACCCCTGGGCGTCTCATAGGTGGTTAGGCATCTCTAGGGCTACAAGTCTTCCCAGTGGATGGGGCTGGGCCAGGTGGGTTAAGGGGGAGGGGTCTCTGACTCAGCCTGCCTCATGCTGTGACCAGATTTAGAGACCTGAGACCAGATTTAGAGATCAATAAATCTTGCAGGAATGAATGAACAAATGAGAGAATGGCCACCTGCAGCAGCATGTTTGTGCACCAGGAGGGGGTGGGTTGTTGCAGTTGGCACCTCCCACCAATGCCCTACCTCCTGTCATTCCAAGACCACACCCTGCATCCTGCGTCTCCTATAAATTCCTTCCATTTCAAGCCCTGCTGGCTTCTCTTCTGCACTATCTGGCTTAGAGGAGAAGCCTCCTGACACCAGACTGAGCCCTGACAATGGGATCCAAGCAGTGCAGGGTATCCTTGGGAGCAGTGAGGGAAAAGGTATGCAGGCCGACTCTCACGAGCCTGCAGTCCACGCAGGGAAGCCGAGCTGCCACCCGCAAGACAAGCCTGGCTGGTGGCAGCAGGCAGTGTACGGAGTTGAGATGGTGCCGGGGAAGAGGCAGCCAGGCAGGGTACTTGTGCCATGCCCCGTACAGGCCTGAGCAGATACAGCATATGAGGCCAGAGATAATGAACACCAGTCTCTCTCCCACTACACACCACCTGGTTTGCCTGCATCTATATCCCTGTCCCTCGAGCCCCATTGCCATCTACCCAGGAATTCCCACCATTGGCTCACAGTTTCCATGTAGCCTCCCATTGGCTGCTCACACCCCAGTCATACCCCTGGCAGCTCCCCCTTCCCCTCCGCCTCTGCCTCCAACATCCCCACGCTCTGTTCCTTCTTGGCTCCTTGGCTCTTGTGAGTCCTCCTCCGCTTGCACACAATTTCCAAGTGTTTAGCCTCCTCTTGGGCCAAAAGTGGGCAGATCTGGCCTTAGGGCCCTCTTCCTCCAGGCCTCTGGGCCTGCAGTTTTCCCCACTCACACCCAGACATACCCACCTATCACCACCACCCCCAGACACACATATTCTCCAAGCCTGCACCCTCCTTTCCTTCTTCCCCCCAAAAAATCGCCAGGCCCATGAGGACCCCCACTGTTGACTTGGGTCATTTGGTTAACTAGCCACACTTCCATGCCAACTTATCCCTGAAATTCATAACCTATGAGAATTAAAAGAAGAATGATCTTGGCACTTTGGAGCAATAGGAACAGATGGAACAAGGGGGCTGCTTCTGTCTGTCACAGAGCTACCCTCTTGGCATTATCTATGAGGGGCTGGGGCTGGAGAGGGAGGGGAGGAAAAGACCTTCACTAAGCCCGACTGCAGCTGCTTCAGCCTCTGCCCTGAGTGCTGGGGTCCCCTCAGGGTGCACCCTGATCACTGAGGGTGGGTCTGAATGATGCTGATAAGACACAGGGGTAGGACCCCAGGGGCCTCGTGAAGTGAACCAAGTCAACGCTTGGCTCTCACTTCTGCACCTTCAACTGATGGGGGTGCAGAAGGGATGGAGCAGTGGCCCAAGCCGTTGTAGCTCAGGGGGTGGCAGGCATGGAGAAGAGAGGCATGGTGCCAGGAGGGGGAGGGCATCACCTCCATGTGCCCAGCACCCAAGATTGGGAGTGTCTGTGGCAGTCAGAAAGGGAGGGCTAGAGGCTGTATTTCAGGATGGGGAGCAGGGTTGGTGGATCCGACTCTGGCCAGGAAGATGTCTAGACTCTAGGTCTGCAGAGAAGAGCCACTCTGTGGCTCTAAGCCCCCAGCCAGGCCCTGGAGAGCAGCCACCCAGCAGCCCCGGGCCTCTTGCATCCCTCCCATTGGGTGCCCATTGGGTGGGGGACTCATTGTCCTCAGCATCACCGAGCTCTGCAGGCTCCTCCAGCACTCTGAGCCCATCACCCACCTGTTTCCTACTTTTGATTCTGAGTCTGGTTCACCATCAGATAAGCTGATGCCTAAAACCCTGGATTTATGCTGTCCAAAGGAGCAAATTAGAGGCTATTGATTCTCATCACTGCAGAGGTCCTGACTGTACAAAAGAATTTCCCTTTAGAAATGGAGGCCACCTCTAATGCACTTAAATATTTTCTTCCAGCTCATTTGCTACCTAAAAGGAGGCTGGAGCAATCCCCCAAACAATCTCCAGCCTAGAGTGGTTGGAGCCATTGCCTGCTGAAGCACCACCAGCCACGAAGCTAGAGAATCTCCACACTGAGAACCGCAGTCGGGGGAGGACAGGATTTGACTTTCAAGCAATCTGAACTCCAACCCTGCCAACGCACACAGAGGTACGTGTGACTTTTCAGGAACATGCCCGCCTTACCAGGAATGATGCACCTGTTTTTCCTCTCTCAGCCTGGCCTGTCTTAGGATGACTTTAAAAGCCCAAATGTGTGCTCCGTTGGGGACTCCGCTGGCAATGCCCCTCCACTGCTCTGTGGTCCTGCGTGTGTCTCTTTGTCTGCCCAGCCCCCCGCCCCCATCCCAGTTGCCTTCTCCAAGGCCCTGTGCTGTCTCCAGTGCCAGCTTTGCTGCCCTGGGATACATCATGCTCTGTCTGGCGGCCTGGCCCTCTGTTTCCCTTGCCTTCTTTCTTTGCCAGAGAGGCCTGGCTCAGGTTACATGGGTACTTAGTGCTGAGGAGATGTCCCCTCCCTGAGCAGGAGGAGTACAGTAGGCTCTCCTCACACTCCCACCATGACTGCAGGCTTTGAGCTGGGCCTGGGGAGGGGGAGGAGGAGGGGAAAAAGAGAGGTGCTCGGAGACAGAGGGACACTTGGCCCTGTCCTGGGAGTTCTCAGACTCAGAAGAGCAAAGTGTATCCCAGGTAGGGAGGCAGCGCAGGAGTGTATGCAGTGGTAGCAGGGTGATGAGAAGCAGCGTGAAGAGGGGTGGGGGAGTGGACATTCCAAGTCAGGACAGAGTGTGGAGAGGAGGAAGTGTGGTTTTCGGGCTGGAACTTTGACTGGGGACTCTGGCTGGGGACAGAATGCCAGTCTGAGCCAAGGACAAATTGGTTCTGGGATGCCTGCTTCTAACCCAGGACAGGAGGCAGTGGAAGCAGGACATGTGTACCTGGATCCTTAGCTGGTGGCCACCTCTGGGGACATGCCCCTCCTTGGCTCCAGGAGAAGTCAGGGAGTAGAGGAGGCAGTGGGAGCCCCAAAAGTTTCCAGCACCAGGCTTGAGCAAAATGTGAAGACAAGGAATTTACCCAAATCGGAGTGGACAGATGACCTAATGAAGACGGTGAAATTCAAGCACGGAGTGGCAGGCTCTGGACCAGCCACACGGAGTTCTGGCAACCTGACCGATTTCCCTTCCCTTGAAACCAGCTCTCCCCTTGTCCCAATGGCTGAACCCCAGGAGGGTCTGTATGGTTGTCTAGTGGCCAGAGTTCTCCCCACAGCCTCTGGGGGAAGCACCAAGTGTGCAGACCTGGAATCCCCACCTTCCTCTGAAACACTGTCTCTGCACCCAGTCTTTTTCTTCCCTGAAGGCACCACCCTGGACTATTTGCCTGCGGTGGTATTGTGCAAGCGTCGTGCCTTGCCAACCACACCAGATGGTAGGCTCTCTGAGGACAGGCTGTATGGCGTATCACTTGTATCTTTCACTCGTATCTTTTCCTCCGTCTGTTACCTGCCTGGCAGGAGTTTCTGTAGAAAAAGTCTGCCTACTTCTTATTGTGGTGGTGGCTGACTTCGTGCTCAGGTCTTGAGGAGAAAGATCCTTGGCCAGCCAGCTGCCTGGAGGCAGGAGGTGCCAACCACAAGCACTGTGCCTTTCTGAGAAGCCAGGCAGTGCTCCCAGGGCCATAGCAGGCAGAGCGAGCTGGGCCCCTCGGAGGCTCCTGGGATGCATGCCATCCTCCCGTTCTGGAAGATTTGGGACCATGTAGGGTCCTGTCCTCTTGCCCTAGGAATCTCTCTGCCTTGCATTCTCCTTCTTTCTGCTCCCACCTCCCTGTGATTCTAGCCATGGCCCTGGCGTTAGTCCACCTGGTCTTGGCCTTCCCCTTGTGTGGTGCCAGGCAGGCAGCAATGACAGCCAGATCATAGGACTGTGGCAGCTGGAGGTGGGAGCTGGCAGCCCTAGGAGACATTGACACACAGAGGACAGGCAGCCCGGGATGGGGCTGCTGGGGCATGGGTGGGGACCAGGCTAGGGGCGGACATGGGCACTAGTGCCAAGTATTGCCAGGTAAGGGCAAAAGGACTCCCCTTTCCTGAGCTGTAGGGAGGGGTCAGGTCAGGTGCTGTGCTCCCTCCCTTGGTCCCTGGCGACAGGGAAACTAAGGTGAAGCACGCTGAAGCCTGGGACAGAAAGGACGGCTGGAGCCAGGATGTGAGAGAACCAAGTCTCTGGGGTGGGATGAGGAGAGCAGCCAGGACCTGGGGTGAGGGAGGAGAAGACCAGCCCAGCCCGGCTGAGCCCGGCCCTGCCTGAGGGAGGCTGTCTCTGCTCCCACACGCAGGCCGAAAGGAGCAACAGCTGGGCTCCATGCCGCCACCCCCTCTGCGCACTGCTGCCTATGCAACAAGTGTCACGTCTGCATGTTGGCACATCATCCCCGGTCTCCGGCGCCCCTGGACCGGAGGGAGGCTCCCAGCCTTCAAGGACCAGAAGACGTTCAACGTGGGAGCCCAGCCCACCCGGCTGTGGTTAGCTCCTTCCATCGATCCACGAGTGGAGCGGGCATGCCCCCCGCCTCCACGCCCACCACGCAGGGTGCAGCGCGCAGGACACGCGGGGCACACCTGTGGTCCTGCGCTCCCGGGACTGCGAGCGGCGGTTAAGAGAGACAAGGTGACAAGCAGGTGATGCCAGAGGCCGAGTCGAGCCTCCCAGAAGAAGCGGTCCTTGCGGCCAGCCGCCCCATGGCCCGGGGCGCCCTGCCAATCTGCTGCCTGGCGCGGGCCGGCGCGTGGCTGCTCCTGCACGGCTCGCGCCGGGCTCCCCGGGAGGCGGGGAGAAGTGCGAGTGGGGCGGAGGGAAGGGAGCGCGCCGGCTGTAGCCCAGGCGAGCGGGAGGGCGCGCACTCACCTCCACACACCGCGGTCAAGGAGAGCCAGAGCAGCAGGAGCGCCTGCAAGCAGAGCCGCAGATTCATGCTGCTCCTCGGGCCCCGGCGAGCTGGCGGGAGGGAGGGGAGGGAGGAGAGGTGGGGCGCCCGGAGGCCGAGAAACGCGAGAGCCGCGGCTGGCGCGTGCGGGCGCGGAGGTCGCGGGGCTCCCGGGCTGCTGAGTGTGCGCGCTGAGCCCCGCCGCTCCCGCTGGCCGCCTCTGCTCTCCTGCAGCCTCCTCTCCCGCCGCGGGGCAGCGCCGCGAAGCTGGCCTCGGCGGCTCTGGGGGCGGCAGTGACGAGCTCTTTCCCAGCGGCTGGCGGCTCGGCCGCGGCTGCAACTGCCCGTGGCCCCGGCTGCCAGCGAGAATGCTCCCCGCTCACTCCAGGGGCTGCATTTTGTAGCTTGTGGCTTGGCCGCTAGCCCACTTGGTCATGTGGTCATCGGGAGGGCTGGGGGGGTGGCAGGAAGAGGGAGAGGGAGCGAGCCTCCCGCACCGCCCCCATCCCGGCACGCACTCTGCAGCCCCGGCCCGAGCGCGAGCGGGAACCCCGAGGTGGCCCCACAACAAAGGCTACGCGGCCTCTCTGACAACCACCACAGCTCCCCGGACAATGCCCGCTTGGCCGGGGGCCAGAGGGTTTGCAGAGACCTGAAGGATTTCAAACACAGGAAGCATTTGGGGCGGTGGAGGGGCACAGTTAACCCTTTCTCACCACTCTCCCTTAACAGCTGTCAGGAAACCTGGGCGCTCAGGGTAGGACTCAGTCTGGGTTGCCTTCACTCACGCCCTCTACCTCTGACCCTGACCCTGGTCCTTGCCCTTGCTGCTCAAGGGTTTGATCAAGACACCTACACACTGGCCCTCCTCTCTCCTCTGCATTTTCAACTGGCTTTGAATTGGGGGTGACTGCCTATGCTTGTGCCCAAGGCTTGATTAATTGCCCAGCACCCTCATGTTCCCTGCATTTCCCAGGAGGCACCCTCTACCTGGAATGACCCCACCCCACATTTCCGTGACCTCTTCATTCTTGCAGCAGCATCTCAAATCCCATCACATCCAGAAACCTTTTCAGGATAACGCTAATCCAGCAGGGGCTGCCCCTTAGCCTCTCCTCACTGTTGGGACATGCGACAGCTCCTATGGTGTCCCCTTTCTTGTTCCCTGGAGCTGTCCCATTCTGGTTCCCCATCATCGCAAGAGGCGGGTGGTTTACCCAGCTCCACACAGTCAAGGCTGAATTCATTGTGCGTGTACTTGAGATTCTGCTTTAGAAGCGGGTTCTGAAGTTGTTTGCCTTTCAAGACTAGACTGCTAGCTCCTTCTACAGCTTGGGAGCTCCCAAGGCATGGGACTGCCTCCTGCATTGGCCTGGAAACTCCCTAAGATGGGATACTGTCTTCTCATTCTTCTGGATCTCTCCAAAGTCCCCAATATCTTGCTCTGCACATAGGTGGCACTCAACACATATTAAAAGACTGAATCCAAAGGTGTCTCCACCTTTCAGCAAGCCAGGCAGTTTGCTTGAAATGTAAGTCCAGATTTACACAAAAGAGATATTGGATAGGGTGTATATGTGCCATAAAAGACATGAGAGACCACGGCATATTTAAAATATTTTTGAAATGTTACAGAAATCCTATATATATATACACAATGTATTTATTATCAGTCTCTCTCTATCAGAAGGGTTACCTCCACAAGGGAGGGATCTTTGCTTTCTTCACAGCGGTGACCCCAGACCTAGAACAGTGCCTGAGACATGACTGGTACTCGGTACATAATTTTGAATATTTGAATGAAAATTTCAAAAACATCTTTACTGCCTAAATCAAGGTAGCAGGAAGGGAATAAGATACGGTTCTCAATAGTCTATGGCCCATTAGCCACACTCAAGTAAAAAAAAGGCATGTGAAGCACGCCACCTCTCTTCATCCTCAAGACCCAGGATATGAGTAGCAGGCACGAGTAGCAGGAAACCATTCTCCCTTAGCTATTCCTCTGGAAAGAGTTTTCTAGGCCGGGCACAGTGGCTCATGCCTGTAATCCCCGCACTTTGGGAGGCCGAGGCAGATGGATTATCTGAGGTCAGGAGTTCGGGACCTGCCTGGCCAACATGGTGAAACCCTGTCTCTACTAAATATACAAAAGTTAGCCGGGCGTGGTGGCAGATGCCTGTAATTTCAGCTACCTGGGAGGCTGAGGTAGGAGAATCTCTTGAACCTGGGAGATGGAGGTTGCAGTGAGCCAAGATTGCACCACTGCACTGCAGCCTGGGCGACAGAGTGAGACTCCGTCTCCAAAAAAAAAAAAAAAAAAAAAAAGGAAAAAGAGCTTTTTAACCAGGAGAAACACCTGGCTTCTAGTCTCCACCCTGATTTGCTGTAGGGCCTTGCCATCATCACCTAAATTTACTGGGGTTCACAGAGGTGATAATCTCTGCTCTACCCAGCTCAAAGCTGTTACGGGATTAAGTGAGATAATGTGCCTGAAGGTACCGTGCAAATTAAGAATAAGCTCTTGCAGGGTAGTTTTTAGGAACCTTGGTTGCTCCAACTCTTGATTGGGCAAGCCCATGCACACCCAAATAAGTGTCCCCATAACTAGACTAATAGGAGCCTTCATATTTAATTGCACCTTTACTAGGGTGTGTATGGGTTATTGCTAAGAGGTTGGAACATGCAGTGCTTTCCAATACAACAGCTATTCACCACGTTTCCAATGAAGTTTAAAATTCAGTTCCTCAGTTGCACTGGCCACACTTCAATTGCTCAGCACCCATATGTGGCTACTGTATTGGACAGCACAGAATAGAATCTTCAATCATTGCAGAAAGCTCTGTTGGCTAGAACACTCATTCATTCTTCTTTTTTCTATAGTACATTTTCCCACCTTACCTAGTTTTCGAAATGTACAACGTGAGAGGAAAAAACATAAAAGCAAACCGGGCCGGGTGCAGTGGCACATGCCTGTAATCCCAGCACTTTGGGAGGCTGAGGCGGGCAGATCACAAGGTCAGGAATTCAAGACCAGCCTGGCCAATATGGTGAAACCCTGTCTCTACTAAAAATACAAAAATTAGCTGGGAGTAGAGGCATGAGCCTGTAGTCCCAGCTACTCGGGAGGCTGAGGCAGAAGAATCACTTGAACTCGGGGAAGCAAAGGTTGCAGCGAGCCAAGATGGTGCCACTGCACTCCAGCCTGGGCGACAGAGTGGGACTCCATCTCAAAAAACAAACAAACAAACAAACAAAAAACATAAAAGCAAACCAATAGAAATTCAAGCCAAGCTAAAGGCATGCATTTATAGTAAGATTTAAAGATCTGACACTTGGGGGAATGATTTTTTAATCCAATTCTTCTCTAACCAAATGACATTCTTTTTTTTCTTTAGAGGTAGAGTCTTGCTCTGTTGCTCTAGCCTAAGTGCAATAATGCCATCGCGGCTCAATGCAGGCTCAAACTCCTAGGCTCAAGTGATCCTCCCACCTCAGCCTCCCAAGCTGCTGGGACTACAGGGATGCACCACCATACCAAGCTAATTTTTAAGTTTATTTTTACTTTTTGTAGAGGTTGAGTCTCACTATGTTTCTCAGGCTTGCCTTAAACTCCTGGTCTCAAGCAATTCTCCCATCTCAGCCTCCCAAAGTGCTGGGATTACAAGTGCGAGTCACCATGCCTGGCTGCATCTGTTTTTGTAGTCCCAGATACGAGATTTCATCTTTCTTTCTCAGGCCACTCTTGCCTACAGCGACTTTGCCCTCTCCATAACAGCTATGGCTGTGTCATTCATTGGTAGATGCTCTCACCGTGCATTGGGAGCACTCTTGAATCCACATGCTGTGCTCTATGGGCCTGTCGTAATTCTGCAAGAAGACCCATAACCACCGTATCCATTCAGTGGTCAGGCCCATGAGGCAAGGAACGCAGCTCTGATTGCCCACTCTGAACCCCTTGTAGGCTCTCATATATTTCAATATTAGATTGAAATGACCAGTTTTCATATCTGTGTCTATTTGCCAGACTTTAAGGTCACTGCTGTGATAGCACCTAGCACAGTGCCTGCCACACAATTGGTATTTCATAACTGCCTGTCAGATAAATAAGTAACAGTTGGCCTAACTCTGTGCTGTCGTTTGTTCAGGCTGATGATACTATTGAATAAACAACAGCAGAATAAATTTTTTAAGGCATAGGTCCCCAACCCCTGGGCCATGGACCACTACAGCTCTGTGGCCTATTAGGAACTAGGCCTCACAGTAGGAGGTGAGCAGCAGACAGGCCAGTGAAGCATCGTTTGTATTTACAGCTACTCTCCATTGCTCCCATTACCACCTGAGCTCCACCTTCTCTCAGATCAGCAGTGGCGTTACATTCTCATAGGAGCATGAATCCTATTGTAAACTGCACATGTAAGGTATCTAGTTTGTATGTTCTTTATGACAATCTAATGCCTGATTATCTGTCACAGTCTGTCATCAACCCCAGATGGGACCCTGTAGTTGCAGAAAAACAAGTTCAGGATTCCCACTAATTCTACGTTATGGTGAGTTGTAGCATTATTTCATTGTATATTACAATGTAATAATAATAGAAATAAAGTGCATAATAAATATAATGTGCTTGAGTCATCCTGAAGCCATCCCTCCCAACCCTGGTCCCAGGAAAAATTGTCTTCCATGAAACCAGCCCCTGATGCCAAAGCTGTTGGGACCACTGTTTTTAGGTATTTCTCTGGAGGTGGGAAATTGTCCACACTCTCCTGCCCTAAGGCAGCAAGTAGCTGTGAAGTTGCTGGAAGCATTGCTGTATTTGGGGCTCAGGACCTGTAGTCAGCAGCAAGACTCAGCTTCCAGTCAAAGTAAGGGACAATCCTGGGGGCAAGGGTAGGACTCAGTGTATTGTTGGGGACAGAAATGACATTATGTGAGTTCAACGTGTGACTTGCCCCCCTCATCAGAGCTGTTCACATGCTATTCATTTCTGCTTATTATCCTATGTCACCACCAGCCACTGCTGCTCAGTTGACTCATCCACCTCCCCTTTGGGTTTAAGCAAATAGCGTGAGGCACTCAGCTTTTGGAGTTTCACATAACTGAATTCAAATCCTTCCCCTCAACCCCATTCATTAGCTGTGTGACCTTGAGCAAGTTATTTAGCTTCTCTGAGGCCCAGTTTTTTCCTCCGTTAAATGAGGATGATAATACCTAATTTTTTATGTGCTAAGGTTTGAATGTATGTGTCCCTGCAAAATTCATATGTTGAAACTAAAAGCCCAAAGTGATGTATTAAGAGGAAGGGCCTTTTGAGATTGATTAAATCATGAGGGCTCCACCCTCATTAATGAATTAGTGCTCTTATAAAAGAAGTTGGAAGGGGCACCCTAGTTCCCTT